CGAACCAGCACGTTCGGTTCGATCCCGAACCAGCGTCGAAGACTCGCCCGAACGACAGCGTCTGGGCCTGGCCGTGGCCCGAAGACTCGGATCGAGCATGTTCAATCCATCGGAAGACCCATCCACGGTGGTTTTCACTCACTCCACATTCTATGAGAATTGGTCGGAAAACATGGGCCAGAGGTCGTGAGGAGCCCAAAGTGGGTTCACAACCACAGCAGTTCGCCAGAATCATGAGCTCATCTTGAGTGTTGAGTGTGTCTTCAGGAGTTGCTTCTTCCGTCTCACCTAGTCCACCTGATGGTTTCGGCTTCACAAAAAGAATTCGGCGAAAAAACGACCGGACGAGCCGGAAGATCTGGATCTCATCCCCTCGCCTCCCCTCGCTCCCGAGGACCATGCCGGACGAGGAGGCGCCGACCGAGGAGGCCGTTCCGGAGCGGGTGAGTCGGGGTGAATCGGGGGGGCCCAGGCACAAGCGCCATGTGAAACAACACAAAACAGTAGACTGTAGTGACTACACAGAACCAACATGATTTGACAGAACTATATAAACTGATTGCGGTTGATAGAACGGTGCTATTGCTGTTGCTATATTGAACTAAACTCACAACCGCAATGCAAACAGCGATGACATTTGCAACAGTCGCCAGTGTAACAGTCGCCAGACTGAGCCGAGCCTTGTTGGGTTGCAAGCGCCCTGTCAGGTGTCAGGGCAAGAGCCCATGGAGGATGCAGGAGCCGAGCTGCGTCGTTTTGGGCACCAGGGGTCTTTGCCAGCGTGTCGCGTTGCAAACGGGTGGAGAACGGGTTGACCGACACACACACAGCACCGCCTCTGGTGCGAACGAGAGCCAAACGGGTGGCGAGATTCTCGTTCATTGAGCCGAAGAAGGTCCGAGCAGAAGAGGGACGCAATGGGATGCGACAGAAGAGTAGGTCAATTTGAGGCCAGCGAGTGACCCAACTCCGAACTGGAGCTTCAAAACGGATATGAAAAGAGAAAGAAAGTGAATCCAAACATGAACCGAACCGGTTCAAAAACCAGAGGCGTTGGTGCAAACTGTGCATGATCGCTTGGAGTTATTGGTCCTTCCTTTGGAGAACCGCCACGAAGAAGTCATGGGACAGTCCCGGAATTTCGAAGGCTGTCGAATCGCCCGGAATTGGATCAGGAACTTGGCATGTGTCAAGGAATTTGGAATTCCAAGGTCCACAAAGTGCTATTGTTTTCAAAATTATATTTCAAGTTTCTTTGATCTGAGTGCTCAGCAACATAGAACTCATGAGGATTCAAGGACCGGCTTTCCATCTTCTGCCAATGGCGAAAATGAAACCGAAGGAGCTGAAGATGATGCTGAGGTAGAAGGCCAGTGAGCAAAGTGGGCGCAAGTGGCTGCTTTCCTCTTTTTCTTGTATACCTTTTGTTTTGGCGGGGTAGGCCGTAGAGGTAGTAGCTAGGTAGCTAGTAGAAGAAGGTAAGTAGCTTGCAGCTTAAGTAGCTACTACTTAGGACGCAGGATAGCTCGCGCTTCTTCAATTTGAAGCTTCCCCGCCGCCCTAAAAAGCTTCCTTGAGGAAGCGCTCGCACTAATGATTTGGTTCCTAGAGTTTTAGGGAAACTTAACATCAAGTGGCTGCACACACCTTCAGAGCTTTTCTAGACAAGCTAGACGTTGACCGTGGCCAACCCCTGAAACGAGGAACCAAACCACCCGTCGTCCATGTCAACCGCCTGCGGTTGGATTTCATGCCCGTCTAGGTGAAGACTCCAAGGAGGAGGCGAAGGAGGGGGAAGATGCAAAGGAAGGTGGAAAGCTGAGTTGCATCGGTGTTGTGAAGAAGATGTTCGTGCAAGATATGAATTGACATGCACAAACTAGCGGAATCATGCTGAATCTAGCTGATGCTAGTAATGCTATGAATACGCAGTAACACTGCCAGCATCATATCACCATTTGTTAGATACATGTTCATAACCTCGTCTGAGGCATTGAAGTTGTGTATATACAGTCTATCGCATTGTTTTCTTCCATTGATCAGAGCTCCAAGGGTAGTTTGAGCCTTCCGTCTAGCTGATTGATTCTGTGCAGGGGAAGACGGGAAAAAGAAGAAGAAGGAGAAGAAGGTGCAGTGTGCAGTCCACTACACACAGTGCATTAATATATCTCATGCGACACGATTCGATTGGAGCAAGTACGTAGGATCATCGTGCCACATCTCACACATCGTACGCCCATCAAACGCCATGACTTTGGTCAGGCGTAGCTGCCATGAACGGACCATTTGGGACCGAGTTTGAGGTTCACCCTGGAAGAGACCCATATGGAATCTGAAAACTGGTTGCAGAGGAACATCGTCTTCCAGTCTGGTCCATGCCATCAGGTTCCATGTGGGTCTCTTCCCGGGTGTATATCTTTTTCTCTCAGTGGTCTTTGCAGGGGGTCTTTCTGTTATAAGGCGCACCCACATCATTCGGGAGGAATTCATACGTTGCTCTTCCAGCGTGAATACCTTGGCAGTGTCTCCCATACCCCTGGCTTTATCACTTTGTCTGCGTAGAGTGACGTGTCTGCCCTGACCTGACCAACCGTGTTTGAACCTTGAGCGATGCCAAGAGAGTCGCAGTGTCGCGAGCACGGGAAACACGGACCAATGGTTCTCCCGGTGGCAAGACGCTTAACATGTGGATTCTTCTTCAGCCAATAGGTGTTGGGGCCGTAGGGGGATAATGACAAGCGATATGTGGCAAATCCCCCTGGAACCAGATGAGACCCAGCAAGTGCTTCCTTTCTTCAGCCGCTTCTCAGTCTTCCCTCCTCGTGGCGTTGGTGCGCACAGGAGAAGAAGGCCAAAGTCGTCAAAGACGAAAAGATGGGCCAGGTGAAGAATGAGGAGAATCGCTGCCGATCAACTTAGGTCGTTTGCCCACATGTAAAATATTGACTTGCAAAACGGTCATTTGTATACAAGAGGAGATCGTGTTTGATCACTGACTGACCAACTTTCAAACAAGACCATCTAAACAAGTGCTCCATGTCCTTCATTCCACCGTTTTCGGATTTCGTTTGCCTACTAGCCACAAACAGATCCAGCAATGCTTCACATTGGAGACCCCCAAATGGGGTCTGCGGTGAGACCGTCGCATCACCGTAGCCCGTGGCTCAGTCGCATCACCGTGCGGCGGGGGCAGGGCAGGGCCAACCAGGGTCGGATGTCGAGCCGCTCTAGGACTTGGATTGGATTTGGATTGGTGGTGCAGATGTGTCTCCGATGGCAAGGGATCGAGCGGAGCTGACGGATCGTGCGGAGCCGATGGGATTTGGTGTCCAAGGGCAGATGTCCCCGCCATGCCTTTTGAAACCATCTCCAGCTTCCAAGTGTATCAGCTTCATTTGCAAACTGTCCCAGTCCGCCCAGTGCATGCCGTCCTCTTTCATTCCACCGCCCGTTTTTCGGCTCTCAGTCCGTCGTCCTCCCCTCGCAGACCTGCACATCGTGCACCGTGCGGTCTGCGTTCGAACCGAGGACGCCAAAGACCGCGAGGCGCTGGAAAAGGCGAAGATTCGGTCGCTTGGACCCGACGCCCGCCGTCGCGTGTCGACAGAGATGCGACCGCGTGTCGGGTGTGCGGGGTGCGGCGCGATTCGGGGAGTCCGAGCGAGAATTCTCTGACCGGAGTCGAGTGGCTTTGCGAAGAAGTGGAATGGAAGGGTGGGCCAGGGAAAAAAGAACGAGTGGATTTCCACGGGTGGAGGCCAGGGGGGAGATGTTTGTTTCAGTGACGTCTCGAGATGGGAAAATCAAGTCCTGATGCAGTCCTGTAACATACTATCTTAGCAAACATCGGATACTATTTTTTTTGGGGGGTCGATCTTCCTCCCCCCAAAAAGGGATCTCGTTAGAGATGGACCATGCCATGGAGAACAACCTCCTTTTGGGGGATTGAACAAAACACCTCCTCTATGGGGGGAGGTGCATTACTTCAGAGTCTACATTCGTTTGGGACCCCCGGAGACGACGACCGTGGCGTAGAAAGGTCCGGGACCTGGCGGTGAGGAGCATTTTTGGACACGGAGCCCACTCCATGGGACTGGCACATCTGGCAAGCTGAATGGATTTGAACCACCAAAGTGAGTTGAACTCTATGAAAGGGACTGGCAAAATGAGTTGCACCTCCATTTTGGACCACCAACCACCCACCTTTTGTTGGTCAAACTTCAAAACCGAGGGTCGTGTATCTGGACACGGGTCGTGCTCCGTGTGCCATACATGGAGTCGAACATGGACACGGTGAAGCACCGACAGATCGGACCGAGGAGCTCCGACCGTCGGACCGGAGCCGTGACCGTGACCGTCCGACGACCTCGCAATGTGAGGACATGTCTGCATCCTTAGGATGACCCAGGAGAGACCCTTTGATCATCCAGAGTGTCTTCTTGAGAAGTCTTGGAAGACATCGCGAAGGCGATCAGCCAGCGAAGAGAAGTGTGAGATGTGTTTTTCATGATCCACCAGACTGACCCCAGTCCCCAGTGCCAGCTGCCAGCCATTTCACGCTCATTTTACATCCGAAATATATAGGTTGTGCTTGCATCATGGCCCACTTCAGCAGCATTCCTTGTCTGGCCTTGTTCGGGCTGCTGCTTTCTTCGACCACGAATGCCATCAATGCTAGCTGTGAGCCGGAGCAGTTCTCTGTGCTGCAGGCCGAAAAGTGACTCATGTCGGCATGTCCGCAGCCAGCATGACCAAACATGAAACACTAATTTATATATATATATATAGTTTTTTCCCGAATGCGTAGCGAAGGGTTCTCGTTTAACTCTGGGGGTCTGGGGGTAGAGTCTTGTTCGCGATCCGTTGTTTCTATGTTCGCAACCGTCCGCAACCGTTCGCAACCGTCCGCAACCGTTCGCAGTAGGACGCTAAGGCGCTGCCATTGGGGGAAGCTTTTGCAAGTGACTTTTCATGGATGTGTCACGTGTCAGTTTGCGACGCTATTCCATTGTGATTTGCATGAAAATGACATGTCGCGCAAGAAGCGTGATGGATTTCGCTGCACAGGCGCAGTGGTTTGAGAGATCCGCAGTTTACTGCGCAGTTCCATTGGGATTAGCGTTTGGAGAGTCGTGTTTTTGGGGTGTTGGATGTGGCCGTGCCATTGGGATTTGCATTTCAGGGTGTGGCATCGAAGCTCTGTTTTCGTGACAAGTCTCAGCTGAAATGGCGATTTTGGTGGGTGGGAGTGTGCTCAGAACGGGTCGAAATCATTCTAAACGTGTGGTGTGGTGCAAATTTTGTTGAAGCTCATGTGAGATGATATTCTCACTTTTCGTGGCAGGCACAGTACTTTGTGCTGATTTTGAGGTGTGGAAGTGCGATTTTCGTGGCAGGCGCAGGAAATCGTGAGGTTGCGAGGTGTGACGGAGTTGACATTTCGTGGCAGGCGCAGTACTTTGTGCGCGTTAGACGTGTGGATGCGGAAAGATTCGTGGCAGGCGCAGGGAATCGCGAGGTCGTGAGTTATGGTAGAGGTGAATGTCGCTGTCACATTGGGATTGGCGTGTGAGCGGGTGTCGTTTGGAGGGGCTGGAATCGCGAAATTGCTAGGCAGGGCTGCGTGATGTGTGTGCTCCGATGGGTGTTTCCGCTGGACTTTTGGAGGAAGTCTCGTACGAAACGCTCGTTTTGGAGACTTGACGTGTGACTTTTGGAGGAAGTCTCGT